CACAGTGATTGACAGGTCTCTACCAGAGACGTATACAGCGTCTCTACTCACTCCTCCTCAGTCCAGATATGCTCACTTCCTGTTCACTGGTTCCAAAAAAACAAGATGGCGACAGACAAAAGGCTGAACTAAAGGCTTCAAAACATCAACAAATTAAAGAGTGACGTCATGAAGACTACGTCCACTTCTTATAGACTGGGGTGGGAGTGGGGTGCCCTACTTTTGTTTAGATTAGAGTAACTAATATCTGTGCACGTCCCTGCATGTGTGTAGCCAGAAAGCTATTTTCAAGAATCAGAACCAGTGAAAATAAAACAAAATTGAAAAAACACAAATATATAATAAAAAAATGCAATAAAATGTGAAAAAAAAATACAAAAAGTTAGTAGTTTAGTTCACCTCAGACGAAGGAAACAGACGCTCCACATTCACAAACACCGCAGTGATTCCTGCCGTCTGTCTGATTTTATCTACAAAACACAAACACAACATGATTGACATCAAAACTATCGATCAGCTGAGACGTGGACGCTGAGCGGTACCTGTCAGAGTCTGGAAGTTCCCTTTGCCGAAGATCTTCTTCTTCTCTGGTGTCTTGGTGGACAGGATGAGCTGCTCCACCACTCTCCAGTTGTCCAAAGTGTTCACGAGACCCACGGCCTCGGCCATCATCAGCTCAGCTGTGCACAAAAACAGCTCGATAAACATACACGCCTGCGCGCGCACGCACACCTGGTGGCCGGTGTGTTACCTACCGGTGGTCAGGTGCTGCTTCCGGCTCCCCCACTTCACATCGGGGTGAACCACGAACACTCGGTGCTGCTGAGCGGGCGCGTGCAGCCGAAACAGCTCCTCCACCTCGCTGTCATCGATGAAGTCATCATCCTCTTCATCTTCCTCCTCTTTCTCCTCCTCGTGCACCCCGCTGCCTCCGAGGTCATCCGTGTTGTCCCTCGACCTGCACGCGGACAGCGTGAACGCCCTCAGCTGGGAGGGACATGCAGCTCCGACTGCACGCGGAGGCTTGTGAAGGAGTCTGCAGGTAGCCGATGACGTCAGACAGGTGTGTGCGCGGCGACGCTGCAGGACCGGAAACCAAGAGAGAACCCTCCTCAGTGTTGTCATGGTGCTCTTATTGTACAGTTATCACTACGTCCATGGTTGTTGTTGTGCTTTAGGAGAGAGCCACCGCGCATGCGCACTGTGAACGTGTTCTTCTTCTTGTTCACTGGAGATCACAAAGCAGCCTGCAGAGAGAACACTGCCACCTGCTGGTGTGTTGATGCACCGTCCAGAATCTAGATCATGATCATGATCTAGATCGTTAGAACACGTTAGAATCAATGTATCTATATTTTATATTTTATAATGGGATGATATTTTATATATAATCCCACCATTATTTGAGTTATTTTGATGTTATTTTGATGTTAAACAAATGAAAAAAAAATTATATTAATAATTTTCTATTTTTTAATGTATGTGTATGTATATAATGTATATTTTAACTTTATCATTTTATTTAAAGTTACTTCAATAACTTTAATTAATATTGATTTTGTCGCCCCCTGTGGACTAAAGCTGTAGTGTCTCTGAGCACCAGACTCTCTTTAGAAAACCTCTCATTTTACTGCAGCAGGGTCTGACAGTCTGCTCCTCTCAGTTCTGGTTCTGGTCCCGAGCCTCCCTTCAGAACCAGGTAAAGGTTCCTCGCTGTGACTTTAACGCCAGTTGAATCTCGGCGATTCATGACGTCACGCTGTGTGGGCGTGCGCCGCCTATACAGGTCAAACAGGTCGGACACCTTCCCATCAAGGCTCTCAGCAGGATGTATGCCGATGGACAGTAAAAAGGCCTTACAGGTTATTTGTGAGTGAGAATCTCTTTAATTCTCACTGCTCGTCAGCTTTACATCAGACAGAGGAACAGAGTCAGATGCCTCAACGAGCCGCAACATGACCGGCGGTGACTTCACTCAGGGAGAAACAAGGTGTGCGCATCCGACCCGGAGCTGTGCAACAGGCTGACAGGAAGTGGAGCCACACGGGCACATTGAAAGCGGTGATGGGTCTGTGCTCGTTCTCCAGTCTGAGGAGGAACAGGTCTTTGAATGGTTTCTGTGTCTTTGGCGCACGAACGGCGCACAAAGCGGCTCTGTGGAGCTGCGGACTGCTGCTCAGCTTCCTGGGTTTCTGCGCCTGTCTGGGTGAGACGATCACACACTGACATGTACCTGGTACACTGAAGTACTGCAAGTATTCACATCGTGTACTACTACTACTACAGTTAATCTGTCGGTAAAATGTAGTTAAAGTATTCAAACTGTGATTGTTCTACTATTATATATACTATCATTCGAGTATTACTCGCGTATTAATGGAAAAACAGGATTGTACTGTTGTAGTTGGTTGAACTAATAACTCATTATTTTCATTATGGATTCATCTGCTGATTATTTTGGTTCGTGAAAATAGTGAGAAATGTTTGCGTCAACTACCCAGAGCCCAACGTGACACCGTCACTGTTTGTTGAGTCCAAACCTCAAGATTACACTGAAGCTATTAGAATCATTCAACAGGAACAAGTAGTAAATGAACTCATGCAGGTTCACCAGAACCTCCTTCAGCTCAGAGACCAGTCCACCGTGAACAGACCCAGATCCTCCAGCAGAGACCGGTCCACCGTGGACAGACCCAGATCCTCCAGCAGAGACCGGTCCATCGTGGACAGACCCAGATCCTCCAGCAGAGACCGGTCCATCGTGAACAGACCCAGATCCTCCAGCAGAGACCGGTCCATCGTGAACAGACCCAGATCCTCCAGCAGAGACCGGTCCACCGTGGACAGATCCGGATCCTCCAGCAGAGACCGGTCCATCGTGGACAGATCCGGAGGGAGGAGGAGAGCTCAGCTCCTGGCAGCAGCGTCTCCTCCTCCTCCTCCTCCTCCTCCTCCTCCTCCAGGAGCAGAGCTTCTCCTCTCTGGGAGTCAACACCGACACCACGCTGCTGGAGACCCAGGACGTATTGCTGGACTGGCTGGAGGGAAGGGAGGCACGGGAGAACCAGAACCAGGACTGAGAGGGGCAGACTGTCAGACCCTGCTGCAGTAGAATGAGAGGTTTTCTAAAGGGACTCTGGTGCTCAGAGACACTACCACTTTAGTCCACAGGGGGCGACAGAACCAAGAGAACTGAAAGTTCGTCGTAGTAACTTTAAGTACTTGAGTAAAAGTACTCGGTTACTCTCCACTCCACTGATACTTTACTGTCTTGTCTCTCTTGTCTGTCCTCAGAGGAAGAGTGCGTCCTCGGTATCGTCGGACAGTCGGTCTCGCTGCCCTGCATTCGCCCCCAGTTAAAAACCTCGGTGAACGTCACCATCGAGTGGAGGAGAGGCGAGGAGGTGGTGCTCCGGTCGGTGTGGAGGGACGACGGCATCGTGGAGGAGTGGAGCATCAACAGGGCCACGACCCCGTCGGACACCATGCTGACGGGAAACTTGTCCCTGCAGCTTCCCACGGTGGACCCCTCGGAGCACAGCGTGAACTACAGTCTGCTCGTCACTTCAGGACAGAATCACAGCGTGGAGCTGTGCACCGTGTGCCTCAGGACCGCAGGTCAGTGTCCAACAATCAATCAATCACACACAGGAAGTCAGGACGAGTATTTAGAGGAGCTAACGTTGTCTTTAACGGCTGTTTTGCAGCCAGTTTCAGCTTCCCGCTGCTGCGGAGGGAGAAGGAGGCCGGGCCGGGAGGCGAGAGCGCCTTCTGGTGTCACTCCAGCGGGGGGTTCCCTGCACCTGCAGTCTACTGGCTCATCAACGACACCGAGGACCCCCCCGACGGCTCGGTGAGGACGCTGGCGGCGGCGCTGCCGGATTCCCTTCTGTACAACGTCACGAGCCAGCTGATGCTCAACGTCTCCGAGGACTCCAGCGTGTCGTGCGTCGTGGAGAACCCGTCCATGAACGAAAACTTGACGTCCACAACCAGTGAGTGATTCGCTCAGTGATTTCCAGCACCCCAAAAAAAAACTCGCAACACCACCTGTTGCACTAATCTCTGGTTCTCTTGTTGCTGCAAAGGCGGAGTGAAAGTGAGGGGCGGCCCCGTGGTGACCGGCAGAGCCTCGGAGGCCATGTGGATCTTCAGCACGGCGCTCTGCGCGGTGGTCGGGGTCATGGTGTTGGTGGGCGTCATCTACCAGATTCACCTGGACAGGATGAGCAAGAAGAAGAAAGAGTTCCATAAGCAGCATCTGAACAGAGGTAAACAGACCCTGCTGCAGTAAGATGAGAGGTTTTCTAAAGGGACTCTGGTGCTCAGAGACATTACCACTTTAGTCCACAGGGGGCGACATAATCAACACTACATGAAAGTTCCTCTCAGTAACCTTAAATAAAATAATAGTTAAAATATCAAGGTAAGGTTTCCACAGGGACTTTTCATGTGTCCTAAACATCTATTTGGTATAACTATGTTGCTATGACTGTAGCAGGAAGCTACCTCAAGAGGAGGTTTGGGTTCTTAGTGTTTATAATACAAGGTTACAAGGGTTTTTATTTGTCATTGTACAACAGGGTTGCACAACAATTCTGATTGTAGTCCCAATTTACTACATAGGAAAAAACCTACATTATATATGGAAATGGAGGATGAATTAAAGAAGTCTGGTGGTTCAGCAGCTGATGCTTCTGCACCTCTTTCCAGATGGCAGCAGAGTGAATGGGTTGTCTGCAGTGGGTTTTGTCTTTTAATAACCTTTGAGCTCTGCGCAGGCACCTCTTGTCACCAATATCACTGATGCTCAGTAGAGAGACACCAATGGTGTTCTGGGAGGTTTTTCTGTTAAGATACATGTGTGTAGTTGAGCTCAAAATAGATGGCGGTGGTCTCATCAAGGGGGCTGGAAGTCAATGTGAATGGACTTTCTAGTCTTCCGAACGCTCAAAGCGCTCGACACTATCGCCGTTTTTCTTTTTACTACAAGTACGTACGTTGCATGCAGTATGCGTTGAAACAGGGACAAACTACTTCATCATATCATGGCAGCTTGAACTATCTGGATTGTGGGTCAGAACAGAACATCCTGGTATTTTTGACATACTGTGTTTTAAATACCATCTATTGGGGACAACCTAAATCTTTTTCTGGCATACTGAAACATTCCTGATGTAGGACTAATAAAGGATCATCTTATTTTAAGGTAATATGGGTTTTGGAACCCACAGCAGCAGATGTCAGGGTTCAGGGTCTTGCCCAAGGAAACTAGACTGGAGGATCTGGGGATCGAACCGTCGATCTTTGGATTAGTTGACGACCTGTTGTACCTCCTGAAGGAACCAAACCCTGTTAAATGTAAAAAGTATAAAATGTATTCTAAAGTTCAAGAAATCAAGAGAGAGAATGGTTTCCAATATTTCACAAGACAAAAAAGAAAAGAAGAATCTTTAAAAATATTTAGTGTAGTTGACCATTAAAACTGATTATCATTTATTCTACCCTGGAGTAGAATCTACCATCATGACATCCAATAAATAAACAGGTTTGTGTTTGACTAAATGTTCTGAAGCAGCTGTTTCTGTTTGATCAGTTTCACTTCATCAGTCACATGAAAGTCAGCTCAGCAATAAAGAGCAATAATCATATAAAAGATCAAATAAAATGACAAGATAAGACATAAAGAAAATATAGAAGAGGATTCTGTGTAAAAGCAACTTCATCCAACGTTGTTGCACGAATGTAATGGGAAAAAAGGAAACATTAAATATAAGAGAAATACATAAAAATCTTAAATCACAGGTTGTTTTATACTGCGGATACTTTTAAACTATCTTTTATGAAGAATATGTGAAATAAATGTTTGCTCTTCATCCAGGATACAAAAGGAGGAGACCTGAGGAAGAGGCGGCGATGAAGCCGGAGAAGAAGGAGACCGACGTGTGAAACGAACCCTCGAGACTTTTCTGACTCGAGGAAACAGAGCACGGATTTGTAAATACTTAGTTTTGTTTGTGATCGCTGGTTTTTATCAGGTTAACATCCAGAGATTTAAACTGATTTAAATAAAGTTATTTTGTGACGATTCTTCTGTTTGTTTCAAGCTTCAATAAAGACTCAAACCAGCGCTGCAGCGGATTTATTTACATCTATACAGAAAATATGACAATTTACATTTGAATCTTACTTTACACAAAAATATTTCTGCTGATGTTTGATTTTCAATAATATGAACTGAATGAAAGATCTACTCACTGGTGACTCATCGATTAGTTGCTTTATATAAACATTCTATAAAATGTGCAGTGTTTCCTAAAGATCAAGACGACGTCCACAACTCAAACATATTCAGTTCACTGTCAGAGGAAAGAAAAGCAGAAAATATTCAAGTTCAAGAAGCTGGAATCAGAGAATTATGACTTCTTGTTCTTCAGAAAAAAATCACTCAGACCGATAAATCAATCAACAATAGTTCATTTAAAAGTTAACTAATCAATTAATTGTTGCAGCTGTAAAGTCGTCACATTAGAGAAGCTCCAACCAGCACACGTTTGTTTCTACTTGATAAATGATGCGTCAGACTTCAGCTCCATCCTTCAAGAACAACAGAGCGTCTCTTATCGGTGAGTCCGGTGCGAGACGGACCACGTTCCTCTGGAGGTCACATGATCAGCTGACTCTTTCCTCCTCCCCCCCCCCCCCCCCACTGAGGTCACGGCGTACAGGTCGTCCCGACGCTGAGCCGTGACGGGGATCTGCTGCCGGATGTCGGCCAAGTACTGCAGGTCTGGGATCAGATCGGGTTCAGATACACACAAACAACAACGAGACTTTTAACAAAGTTAAACCACTCCTCTTCTCCTCTCCTTCTTCTTCTTCTCCTCCTCCACTCACCTACGTCAGCGTAAATAACGGCCTCCTCTGGTCCAGCCTTAGAGATCACCTCCCCCCTGAAACAAGTTAGAAATATAAATATCAAAAGGAGAGAAACTGCTGCTCATCAAGTGTATTGATAAATACTATTTTGAGGTACTTGTACTTTACTTGAATACTACATTTTTAAGCTACTTTATACTTCTCTACATCTCAGAGATTAAATACTGAACTTTATACTATATTTACTGGACAAATGAAGATTTTAGAAATAAAACATGTATTAAAAATGATGTTTTGTTAGAGATTAGACCAAACCGTGTATGTGTATATGTATGTATATATGTATATACGTATACACACATATATATATATACATACACATATATATATATACACACACATACACATATATATATATATACACACACATATATATATATATATACACACACACACACATATATATATATACACACACACACACACACATATATATATATACACACACACACACACACATATATATA